TGCACTGAGGAATGTCTTTGTGCAAGCAGGTGACAGATGTTAAGTCAGATGTTTCCAGGCAAACCTTTCTCCACACTGATGAATGTTTATTTTAGAAATAAGAAGGGTTCTTTTGTATCACTTTCATATGGCTTAACCACATAAAAATGACAATAATTTCATTTTTTTAGAACTAGTTTGGGAGGTCTTTGTCTAGAAAAGTGTTTACTTTTCCTGTGCAATGTTCAAATGTCTTGGCAGTGCTGGATGGGACTCTGTCAGGATTAAATTACATCCCTAGAAAATATTCTTGTAACACCTAACACCTTAGAATGATTTGGGGATTACCATGTATGCTGTGCGTAAGGGAGCTAACCCAAAGTTGTTGGCTACATAGTGCTTAGGCTCAAAACTACAAGTTCTACCTACATCACTTTTTCAAGACTGATTATGGGAGCTGTGAGAGCATTTTATCTGAAGGCTCATAGCCCTGCTGGAGCAACAGCGAATTCGAGCAGGTTATCTTGCCATAAGTAGCTTCTTACCAGCCAGTGCCATTTTTTGGTCTCTCTAGCAGACAGAAGTATTGCCTGAGTTCCAGTTTTTGTGGCAATGAGAGGGACATTTCAGAACTGACGTGACAGTGTTATTCATGACACACTAAAGCCTTGAGGCTCCTGCCAAGCTCCCATTGTGCTAGCTGATAGAGACAGAGAGAGTAAGAAAGAGAACATCTCTGCTGTTAGATTGCAACTTAGACAGCATGGACAAAGCTCGGGGGAAAAGCCAAAAAAAACACCACACAGAAATTTTGTTGTGATTTTGTGAATGTGAAGTTGTGACACAGGTGGGAGAGCAGTGTGATCCAGCACTTGAGTGTTCCCTTTGGACTCAAAGGGAATATAGCCATACTCACAAGCTAGCCCCTGTTACCGCAGTTCAGGCCTCATTCACCTCTGGAGCTCAGCAAAGAGCCAGGAACAAGATCCTTATCAATTGATCCTTCAGTTTTCCACCTGAACTGCTGGGCCACAATATGATGTTGATATCTTTTTCTTTGCTATTGCAAGCAAGAAGGAAAGTTCATTCCTAATTAATAATTAGAAGTTTAGAACTTTAAAGATTTACATGTTCATGTCAYGTGTTGGAACTTCTTTCCTTTTAAACAGCCTGAGGCTGATAACAAATGCCCAGGTTTAAATTAAAGACCACAGGAAAGATTAAAAGATTAATTTTAAATTAAATATCCACATCAAGATAATTACCCTATTACAAATAGCATGATCAAGCTGGTTTTTAAAAGAATTTTTTTAATTTTTGGACTTATATTCATAATCTGGAATAATCGTCCTGTGGAGGTAATCAGGTTTCAGGTTTTTCAGATTATTGAGCCTTTTTTGGCCATTGAGTTTCACAGTTATTCTCTTTCTTTTATTCAGGGAAACTGTGAGTATTTACATCTTAAAATACACTGACCATGATTAATTGTGGAAATTGATTGTTTACATGCATTAAGCATATGAACAAGCATTGCTTTGATAAGCCTAAATTACTTAATGAGACTGTTCCAGAAAATTGCAATTTATTATTTGTCCTTTAGCACTTAGACTTATGATTCATAAAAGTGATTGTAGGTTACACATTATTACAGTGTAATTCATAACATTAACTTGCTAAAAAATTTTCTAACTAGTGTTTTTCTGTTCATAAAATCTGTTCATTACTAATTCACTTTGTTAGTAGTTTCCTAGCTAGTTTCCTAGCTCCTGGACATGCAGGAAATTTAGTGTTTCAGCTTGTTGGGTTTTTCATTAAATTGTGCCTAGTTTTCAGACTATACTCTTAACATTGTAGGAAAACCTAAAGGAAAACCATTGCATTAAGCAGTAAGATCGGGCACACCATGAGTTTGCTATCTTCATGAGCATTGTATGTCCATGTAGTTCACCAACTCTAAAAAAATTACTAAGATACTCTAGATGTAGCTAGAAGAAGGAAATCATTCATTTGGAAAGCTAAAATTTTGTAATCAGTTTTGGTTTTGAAATTTTGATTCTACTTGAAAGAAGTTGTATTTTTGGACCATCCTCTGTTCCCTATATATTTCCAGTAGAAACTTCATTTCATCCATGTTCATTTGAAAAATGTTCATGTATGTGTATTTTAATACATGTTTCACTGGTAGACACATACTCATTTCAACACATCCAGCCCTGTGAATTGCCTCTTTCCTGTCACAATTCCTTCTTGCTAACCATCTCTAAATGTCTCCATGGTTTTGAATTAATATAATTTTTTGTTCAATCAGTTTAAATATTCCATGTATTTTAAGTATATCAGCAGAGTTATGTGTATATATCCTGCAGAGGATAAAAACATTTTGAAATCTGTTTTATATTAAGTACAATAGTTGAAATATTTTTTAATCTAGTTTGTTCTTACATACATAACTGCCACTTAGATATTTAGGAGGTGGAGATGGACAGCTGGAGACAGACTTAGAGCAAGGACAAGCCAGGGATTTAGGAGCATAGATGCACCAAAGTCCTACTGTATAAGGATAAAAACACATTGTTTTTCTGCTTTTGTCTGTGCTTCTTAGGACTTTGAAGTTCTTACATTTTATTTATGGGTTCAGTTATTTGCACATCCTCACTGCACTTTACATATGTCTGCTCTACTCTACATTCTTCACTTTCCATCTTTGAAAGCCCATAAAAATCACTTGGGACCACAGCAGTACATGGGTAAGAGGAATTTGACCTCATAGTTCGTGAGCTCCTCTAAGGAGTCCCTGCTTTAATGCAGTTGCAAAGAACTACAAACAGCTAGTTATGGGTAGGGCAAGAGATGCAGCCTGCAACATTCAGAAATTTCAAACACTGAAAAAACAATTTTTTTTTTGTTTTCTCTTTACGGAAACACAGCGTTCACTAATTCTCTTTACGAAAACACAGCATTTTTATGGAAGAAGAAACAGATACCCTCTTCTGAAGAAGCCAAGATGTCCAAAGGGTTTATGTGGCTTGCTAGCCACTGAGATGTGAACTGCCAACAGAAACATTTTGCACTTATACCAATAACAAACAATGTGTTGCTGGAGGCAATAGCTATTGCCAGCACTTGAAAAAAAGAAACTGGCAACTAACCATGTATCAAAATAGATTCTGAAGTAAGAAAATGTCTTCTTTTCACCACCTACTCAAATATCTTATTTTAGATTGTGCCAAAACTAAAGGGTAGATGATATCCACATTAATTCTGACTGACAATTTCATGGGAAAATCTGGGAAGAYCTCTCCCCCCACATCATTCATATGGACAACATACTCCAGCTTGGCTTAACTGGCTGCCATATGTGGCTTGTATTTCACTGATAAATAGCTCTCAGTACATGTATCCAGATTTGTGTCCTTCCATGCCTGGAAAGGATCATGGGAACTTCTAATTCAGCATGCAAGATGCTTTTAGTATTAGAAAGGGTTAAACACGTAGTTGTTATTGCTGCTAACTGAACCAAAAATATTGTCTCAAAGAAAATTWCAGCATCATTAGTGCTTACAGTGATGTGAGCTCAGCATGTATCTGTTTATAAAAATCAGAGAATGTGACCAGCAGATGGAGCACAATAGGGGAGCAATCAGCCCTTGGTCCATCAGGATATCATCTAAGGARAAAAAWGGAAAAAAAAAAWGCTTACATGCTAGCTGTTTACATTTGTTCAAGGTGTTACTTGAAAGGGGGGAAACATGCTCAAAAAATAACATTATAATATAAAAAGAGGTTAGAACTGTTCTGTGATTGTAGGATAGCCCAATCTTAAATGGTTATTTGTGTGATGTGTTTGCTAACATGATGCATTTCACATGCACTGAGCTATTTCCACCGACTGCAGATCATCAGAGTGGTTTTTCTCTGCTTCTTYCCCAAAATCTGCTTCATTCTGCAGACATGTTTCATAACTTTTCTTCATTATCTGCCTCCATCCTGTTTGAAGCTTGAGGGTATCCACCTTCCTAATCAGCCTCTTCAGCTTCTGCCTGAATTTGCTTTCTTCAAAGATAGGTTCTCTGAGCCTTCCTTTTCCTGAATTTTTAATTTACTCCCTCAGCAATAAGTCTCAATAATGTCATGCTGGAAGAGAGGCCACTCTTCATATTTAGAAAATGTGGCACTACCTGGCTTCCATGCTTTCATTTTGGATGTGGGAGTCAATCTGGGTCAGTGTAAAGTTTTGCATTAATTTATTAAGGTGACTATTTTCTTATTCCCTCTGAATATAGAACTGGGGTTTTGTGTTCGCATTTCTATATCTCTCTGAAGTGTTTTCTCTTTGAAACACGAGTGAAAGGCCTAATACTTTAAACRATTTTCTGTGTTTGGCTGACAGAATTAGGGGTTCTGTTCAGTATGGCTCAARTAGCAGAAATCTGGGTTTAAGGTGATGAACACTGAAATTCCCTGTGGCTGCATAGCTAGTTCAGAGAAGATCTAGTTCAGTGGCAGGTGTTCATCCATGGGTTGAAGATGATCTCGTCCTCTCCCATTGCATCTCTCAAGGCCTTAGTACCTCCTATCTCAAAAGCATGGAAAAATCAGTCAGGAATACCAAAGCTGGATCTTCCAAAAGAAATTTGTGCTCAGCATTTCACTTCTACCTTCCTTATTTATTTAAGATGGGGGGGAGTAAAACTGCTAATTAAATCCACTCTATCTTGAAAAAGATTTTCAGTGCTCCTACAGACCAAAAAAAACCCTCCTACTGTAGGGCACAAAAGTTTTCCTGTGGTTTTGCRGGAATCCCAGAGACTTGAACTTCAAGAACTTCTGACAAGAGATGAAAATATAGAGCTGCAAATATTCATCTTAGCCTGCTCCTCCAGCTACAAGAGTGACATTGATCAGAGAAGGAAAATTCCCTTTCATTTACTGTTTCTTCACTCCATCTGTCATTATAATRAGAGAAGAATTAAGGTGAATTTGTTCTGTGCTTAAGATTTTCTCTCCTGACCCCTTCACAGATGGGAGATTGGGAAATGGAGCACTTGCAGTCTTACCTGTGGGGTTGGTTTGCAGACACGAGATGTCTTCTGTTCTCATCTGCTATCAAGAGAGACCAACGAGACCGTGATTTTGGCAGATGATTTGTGCTCTAAACCCAAGCCATCCCTCGTGCAAGCCTGTAATCGCTTTGACTGCCCGCCCTCCTGGTATCCTACAGAATGGCAAGAGGTAAGAATGTGTGTGTAATAGCATTCTATGACTGCTACAAGCAGTCATTGTGCACATTTCAGCAGTCAGGGGGCTGGAGAGCCTCTGCCATGAGGACAGGTTGGAGAGCTGCAGTGGAGAGGGCTCCTGACAGACCCTACAGCAGCCCTACAGGTCATGGGATGAGCCTGCTACAGGGCTGAAGAGGGACTTCTGACAACAGTACAGAGGGATAGGACAAAGGTAATGGATTTGAACTGAAAGAGGATAAATTTAGTTTAGATATTAGGAAGAAATTGTTCTRCTGTGAGGGTAGTGAGGCACTGAAACAKGTTGCYCAGGGRAGATGTGGATGCCACATTCCTGGAAGCATTGATGGCCACCTTGGATGCAGCTTTGAACAGCCTGGTCTAATGGATGCAGTTCCTGCCCAGGGATGGGGGGAAGTGGGGCTGGAACTGGAAGCAGTTTAAGGTCCCTTCCAACCACAACCATTCCATGATTCTATGATTTTGCTTTAACCTGTCAAGAGGAATGTCTAATCATTCTGACAAAACTGTAAGGTGTGCATTTTTTGGTATTAAAAAAAAATTAAAAATCAATGTTTCCAGAGGTAAATAATGACCATAGCTATCTCTAATGCAGAATTGSTGGAAAATCTTAGCAGCTGGCTATAGATTCCAAACAAAAATATCTGGAATATGTTGGTCAGCTGCAGTGAATCAACTTGGGTTAGCTATATCAAGGTTTGCAGGAATAATAAACTAGAAAGATTAAGGATAAAAAAAATACTTTAAGCATTTTGAATATGCCATGTATTTTCACATAATAGCTWATTTTAGGACAAGAAAATTCCTCATCCTTCAGAATAAGAAATGAATGTTTAAAACTTCCCTTTGGGTGATGGATGCCTTGTTACATGGTTCTTCCCTTTGGGAGATGGATGCCTTAATTATAAAAATTGCTGTCTACACAATGGGTCTCCACAAGGCTTTCCATGTTTAGAAAACACCCTGAAATGAGTTAATTTGCTGACATCTGGTTGCAAATGAAAATACTTGTGTAATTCAAAAGACTTAACAATGCTTCTTTAAATGGTTGTAATGCTGCACAGGAAGAAAGACCTGCAGTGCTGTCAAGACTAAAGGAAAAATTCACTATGTGGTATAGGTGCAAGCAAAACACCTGTTTAAATCTTCATTTTTGATGTGTTCAAGTCTTCATTCTATCCTATGTGAAAACTATGAACATGTTTCATAGTGCTTACATACACCTGTTCAGTTTCTGTAAATAAAATCTGGTCTTTACTTAAAAGCAAGGGAGGTGTTAATGTACTCACCTAATGAAGGTGATAAGTTCATGAAGATGGGACGCCTTTGGGAAACCAACCCAGTAAAAAAAAATTATGCTAGTGGCATGTTCTGTCAAAGCTGGGTAACTMACTTAAGTCTTTAGTCTTATGTTTAAAAAAATCCAATGGTATTTCATGCTTTAATTGGTCTATGATATTCACACACATGTATAYTTAGCTGTACTTTTGAAAATTTCAAGGCCATAGTCATAATAAATGTTTTATTTGCAAACAGCAAGTAGTATTCTACTAGCACATAACATAATATGTGTGTAATAATATAATCAACTCAAACATTTTAAAATTAAGATACGCTAGAWGGAACGCCTGTGCTTGTTATAACCCTGTAACTGGCCACAGTCCTCACAGAAAGCAATTTTCTGTAAGTTTATATGAACAATCAGAAGAGATATACAATACAGTACGTGGAAAAATTTATTTTCTGCTAACCATTAGCTATAGGCCACACTAGAACACTRTGAAAATTGTTTCTGCTAGAGCTATTTCCAAACACATTTTTTCAAGATTGGAGATACMTTCCTCAATAGTGTAAACATGCAGACACCCACTTGTCTAAAGTAATTTTTGTGACTGTTCAAGTGTTCTCAAATGTTGTCTCTTTGAAAGGTTTAGCAGATCTTAGTGAGAAAGGAGCTTGATTCAGTGTAAAAGTTTTAACAACTGTATTAATCAGAAATTAAAACAAACTGCTCAGTTCACACTTGTGGTAGCTGGTGTCTTCTCTGGCAAGAAAGAGAGAGAACCTGTGCTGTAATTCATTGCTGCAGTTCAACAAAGGTCATGTTGTAATTCTTCTKCCTCAGTTCCACAGACTTTTCAAGCTGAACAGTTGTGATCATAGCTGCTCACTACATGGGCACTGAATATTTCCTGTGCTTACCTTTCACCAGAGGAAAACAGCACAAAAAATGTGCTTCTCTACATACTGTCTTTTGCTTCTGTTTAGATGAGTACTGTGCCAGAAAAGAAACCTATAATCCATCAAAATCAATTTCCATTCTCTCATTTTTTAAGGCCATCTGTGTTCCTTCCTTGCAATACCATCATCTTTACAGGTATTTCCACCCTGTAGGAGAGCCAGACCTTGCAGCTCAGTCTCATGCAGATTTCCCATGTGAAAACCTGCACCATGAGGCTTGTGCATTCCACTTAGGGATTATTACAGCTGTTGGCTTCTGAGTTGTGGAAAGAAAAAACATTTGGACAGGATGTGAGTGGCTGAGACAACTTTTGGAGGTGACCTCCAGTCATACAGCAAAACTGCTGTGGATCTCTCCAGCAGAAGAAAACCTGCAGTAGGATTTCTTTCCTTGCATTAAGAGAACACTCCACCTCCCCTCTCCCCAGACTTCTGGGAGGATTTCCCTATATAGGGAAATGAAGGACCCTTCAAGAAGGTGCCTTTCTCACTCTAGGGAAGGATCTTTAAAGCTTCACCTACATGAAAGAGTAAAATCTGTTCTCCACGCAGCCTGGTTTCAGTGCATTTCTTCAGCTCCATCAGTGGTGTTTGTTGTGCTTTTCAGAGCACTCCTTTACACTGGTTTAATGCCAAAAAGCAAAAATCCCCTGAAAGATTTAAACTGTAATGACCAGAGTTTTCTTTTCTAAGCCCTTTTATACTTGTAAGGAAGGACTGCCTGAATTAAATGCCATTTGAAGTMCCAGTATTCCTGGCAGATAAACACACAATAATTATCAGTGTTGTAACATTACGAACAATCCTTAAAATGTCTTTACAGATTCCAGACTACTTGTTTTTAAATAGATGCTCTTTCTTGACTAAATGCATTCATCTCTTTATCTCATTTTCAGTAGTATGCTTCTGGAGTGAAGTGCATATACGCTTTCATTTTTACAAGGCCCTACAAATATCTATTCTGCATTCTTGAAATGGGAGACATCCATTAGTAACTCTCCATCCACCTTTGTTTTATTGCTGAATAAGTGCTACAGTCTCAGTCCCAATAGTCTTTATTAGCTCTTGAGTGCTGTCTTTGCTCCAAAAATAATTAGAACAATGGCTTGAAAACAAAGTCAGCATGGGAAAACTGGTATTGTTTTTTAATAATTTTCCTGGCTATTTTTAATCCATACCATAAAAAGTCTCTTCTGAATCTTCACGTGTCAGGCCTTAAAAAAACACTTAGAGACCTTCTGAGAAAAAAAATTTTCCTCCTTTTGCAGGGTGCTTTATCTTACTGTGGAGTCATAGCAGAGAATTAATTTCTGGAAGGAGGGAGGTGTTATACACCTTGAGTAGAGGGCAGTGTAAAATTAAACCACRTGGGAGATCATGGAATGGGACTTGGGAGTCCTGATTGATGGAAGGCTGAATGTGAGCCATTGTGCCCTGGCAGCCAGGAGGGCCAAGCATGTCCTGGGGGGCATCAGGCACAGCATCACAGCCGGGCAAGGGAGGGGTTTGTCCCGCTCTGCTCTGACCTGGGGCGGCCTCACCTCCAGTGCTGGGGGCAGATTTAGGCATTACGATATGGAAAAGACTAAAACAGTTGAACTATTAGCGTCCAGAGAAGGGCTGGAAAGATGGTGAAGGGTCTGGAGGGAAGCCATGTGAGARGCTGAGGTCACTTGGTTTGTTCAGCCTGGAGGAGACTGAGGACAGAACTCACGGCCATCCGCAGCTTCCTTGTGAGGGAAAGAGCAGGGGCAGGCACTGATCTGTCCTGTGTGGTGAGCAGAGACAGGACCCGAGGGAATGGCCTGAACCGTGTCAGAGGAGGTTTAGGTTGGATATTAGAAATGTTCTTCACACAGAGGGTGGCTGGGCACTGGAACAGCAACACTCCCAGGGGAGTRGTCACAGCACCAGTCTGACAGAGTTTAAGAAATGTTTGTACAATGCTCTCAGGCACTGGCGTGACTCTTGGGCTGTCCTGTGCAAGCACATCTGTAAGTGAATGAAGTCCAAGAAGCAAGGAAAGACTTGTTTTGTCTGAGCTTTGGTAGAGTTGGAAGGCCAGAGAGACTTCCTGAGATTTGACTGATTGACAGTAGGAACATACTTCGTGCTGTTCTTAGTATCTAACCCATTTTGTAACTTGTATATCATAACAGGCCTTAGGCCATGTTGGAATCATTCTTTTAATCATGTTTTTCTTCCTCCTCAGGAATGAATTGTCCTCAAATGAGAGGTTGATAAACATTTTCTTCTGTGGAAAACTAATGTTTTTCTTGCTTAATTCTTTGGAAGCCTTTGAGTTTTGTAACATTCTAAATAAGTAGGACAAAAGCTAATTTTACACATTAAAAAGCAAGCCAAACTGAATATAAAAATGTCTTTCTGCACTTCCTTTCTGCCTTTCAAGGAAAATTTTTATCCTAAATATTCAGGCTAGCATTAAAGTTCATTCAGCTCTTTATCTAAGAGAAAAGGGCCTTTCATGACTGCAAKGTTTTTTATAACACTCCTTTTTATCTGCTTAACTATTTGTTTTAATACTTCTTCATATGATTGTCTGCTCCTCTTGAATAATTGCCATGTCACAAGATATAAGGAACTCCTTGTCATGTCAGTGTAATGCAAGCTCCCCCTTTCCTCTGCTAAAAGAAAGGAGGAAAGGAGTTAAGTTGGCTGGACTGAAAATAACCAGGAGCTTGTTACCAGTTTCAGGAGAAGGATCCTCAGGAAAAAGGGTTGAGCAACCAAATTAACAAAAAGTATTCAGGAAAGCTATTACATTTGATTATTCCAAATTTCCTGTCCTGCTTGAGTAGAAAAATGGATACAGAGAACAAATACAACACTTACCTTAAAGACAGAGGGGAGGTATGTTCTCTGGATATTAATCATCTCAATTTACTTACCTACTGCTGGACAATACTTTTCCACTCTGACAACATTAGTAGCACAGTCAGATCTCAGGCASAGACATAAGTATTTAGATTCGTCACATCACAAGCAAGTGTCTCATTTTCCAAGTGGAGAGGACAAAATTTCTACCTCCATACTGCAATGCTGACTTGCTGTTTCCATGTCTTTTGTACCAATACCTTAAAAAAGAACATTTCAGAAATACTGAAGAAGTTTTTCTAAATATTAGCAAAGTAAKGTTCTTCTACTTACCAAAATATTTTTGATGGGTTTTAAAGCAGTCTACTATGAGGCTTCTGAAGTTTTTGTTTTGTGTTTTCTATTTGGTCAACACCAAGTGTTGATGTCTACCCTAATTCACAAGTGGTTTTTGCTGCAAGGGGCTGGTGCAGGTGTGAGGTGAGGTGACATGGCTGCCTCTCTTTTGATGCCTAGACAAATTAAGAGAATAAAAGCAGACAAATTTAATACAGGCCTACAGGTGCATTAAGGGCAGACACAAGCCTCCTCCTGAGGCTACACCCAAAATGGACACCGAGTCACAAGATCTTCCCCTTTTATAAGTTCTGTCTTATTGACATATGGGACTTCAATTCCCCAATGATACCTTTGGGTTATGATGTGAGCCACCCCAAACTTGCTCCTCCCAACTCGCTGTTGTTTTCATATTTTGGAGCTCTGAGGCAGGTAGGTGTCCTTGGATTCAGGCTCAGAGAGGAATTGTTTTGKCTRAAGAYGGGAGAGCAGTAGTTTYAGTGCTGTACTASAGAAGTACAAGAATACAGATACATGAAARYATAGAAACTRAAAATCCTAAGGCATCATTTTTCTGGCAGTGCTCRCGGACGTGCGGCGGTGGTGTCCAGAAGAGAGACACACTTTGTAAGCAGCGCCTGGCAGATGGAAGCTTGTTAGAGCTGCCAGAAACCTTCTGCTCCATGCCAAGGGCCGTTACACAACAAGCCTGCAAAAATGAGGATTGTCCCAGCGAGTGGCTTCTSTCTGAGTGGACTCAGGTATGCTATCCATATCCGTGAGCATTGTACAGATCCTGGAGATGAAGTTCCTAAGCAAATTGGAATGGAGGAGCCAACGGAGGTCAGACTCCACAAAGCATGTTATGTCCAGTTTTGTCCTGTAATCTGTCTGTACCATCCTGGCTGGGGATGTGTTCACTTGCTCCATGTTCCTCTTTGGTGATCACCTCCACAGTTGTGCTTTGTCCATCTGGCCAAGCTCTTAAGACCCCTCTGGTGTAAACACAAGTCATGCTCAAAACAGTAAATCCCTGTCTCTGTGCATGCCTGTGCTGGTGTTCATCCAAGGCATCAATGAAGAGTAATCTTTATGACCTTCAGCTAAATGCTCTTTTTCCCAAAAAAGCTAGCTGTTTTCATGTCAACAGTCTTTTCCTTTTGGGGACACTCCAGCCCTTTCCTATGAAGAGGAGAGGGGAGGGGAAGGGATGCTCAGGGAGGGAAAGGAAGGGAAAGGAGGAAGTATATTATAAAAATGTAATTTGACTTTATAAGGTCAAAGCAAAGGCATAGGTTCATGTCAATAAGCATGAAAATCATTCCACATCTTGCAGTCTCTGCCACCACTCTTCCAGTCCTCTTTCATGGAAGCTAGTGGAAATTGTCTTGTGGAAATTGTAAAAGAAATGCCAATCACCCTATGGAGYTGTCCCACCTGCACCCTTCTGATGGTGAATCTGTCTGGGCATTTTACTCACATTAGTTCATGTTTTCATAAAGTCTTCTGCCAGGAAATGCACAGCCATTCTGGCGGTGAAGATGGTAGTTACATTGCTCTACCCATTTTCTAGTTCTTTTTACAGACCACTGCTTGGGTCRCAGTGCAAAGGCACAGCCTGTATTTCATTTTCTACAATGCTGTATACATAAATATGAAACTGAAGARGCATTGCTCATCATGCCCACCTGTGCAGCAAGCCCCACTACAGTCTGGTATTAGAGGGTTTATAGTATTCTGTGTAAGTCATGTGTACTAACTACAAGGTTGAGGTAATTAACTAAATGACTAAATGACTAAAATAGTCRTCCCTTTATTATTCCTAAACAGTTTTGCAACATCAGAGCTGAAAGATTAAGCTTAGGCCAGATTTTATCAGACCAGAATGCAACTGTAATGTGCAGCTCAATGAGGTCTACTCATGGATGAGGAGTTTTTTCCAGCCAGAAACAAGCTGTAGCACAGTACCATTAAAAAAAGGGACAACATCTGACACARAAAGAGTGCTAAATGGGGTATGGTAAGAATCTAATCCTTACATGAGAGAAAATAATAGGTATTTCATCCCCAATAATAGGTGTTTCATCCCCTTACTGTGCCTGCACTGTTTGTAGCTTCATGGTCAGGTGCTGCTCTGCTTTATTCCACTACAACATTTTGGAAACCATAACTCTTCCATAGTGTGGTACGTGTATGCAATATGGGCATGGGAGGTGAGGAGGGAGTGTGTGTCCAGGAGCACCCTTTTCATTTTTCCTAATGTTTCTCATCATGTTCCTAGTGTTCAGTCAGCTGTGGAGAAGGCACACAGAGYCGAAATGCTATTTGCAGAAAGTTGCTGAAAACCGGGGACTTTGTTATCGTCAATTCCTCACTCTGCCTCCCTCTGCCATTCTCATCCTTGATCAGGCCCTGTGCACTGGGCCCCTGTGCAAGTAAGTGGAAAAGGTGTTTGGCAGGGTCTGGGGAAGAGGGGCTTGGAAATCCTTCACTAAGAAATCCATGCTGTTTCYTGCTCTATAGCCTTCTTTTGTGCTAGTGTTACTCAGTCTTGTGGAGTAGGTTTTTATGTCTGTGAAAAAGTCAAACCACCAGCAAAGAGCTACAGATTTTACTAGTGGAGCTGGATGTGAGCCAATATGCTGGAAGGGAACTACTAGTTTCTGGAAGAACTGGCTCAAAATTCTGACCAAAACATAGATCTAAATTTCACAGCTGGAATGTAGAGGCTCAGAGATACAGCACAGAAGCCTGAGGGCTGATACAAATAAACTCTCTGCTTGAACAGCTGCAAGGAAAATGGTTGGTCAGGGATTTTGCTGACCATCATTTAGAAACTTATTATTTCATTATGTCACTATGAATCCTCTATGACMTGGGATTTCTAATGAACCATGCAACACAAGTTAGATGTATTGTATGTTGCTATTTCATGCATTTGTTGTTCCCCTAACAAATCTCACTACATACGCTTTCCTAGTTTGCCGTAAGCCCGTTGGATATGGGAAAGTCAGCCTAGCTTCACCTTGACTCTGAAACTGCTGAATGTTGGGTATGCAGGGAGAAAAGAAGATGTGACATTCAGAACTAAAGCCTGGGCCAAATGTTGCATTATATTTATTAATAATATGGCTATGCAGCTTCATTTAGTGTTTCGTAATAAGGATCTCTGGCATAGAGAAACTGGAAGGACACCCTGAACTAGTTCAATTTAGTAGTATTCATCATGTTTTTAAGCCTAGCCCAGAGAGTTTTGTTCTGTTCAACATTACTCCTTGAGTCAGCAAGACTTTCATTCTTCCTTATTGTTGTGAACAAGATTATGTTATCTTTGMAGGTTTGGATGGTCAACTTGTCTGTTTGGTGCATTTCTTAAGCAACAATCTTTGTTTAAGTACTTTAACAACAAGAACTGTGTTTCCACTCAAGTTTTCTCTTTCCCATAAAGCTTTTGTCCCCATCTCTTCTGCGTATACTCTGGGCTGTGTTTGCATTCCTGAAGTGTGTCTTGTTATTCCTCTTATTTTGATTGTTCCAATTTAATGTCCAGCAACTGGTGGCCAGTTTCTCCCATTACAGTCTAATGGGTCAAATGCTGCTAGCAACAATGCAAACTACTTGTTTTGTTTAATGGTATCACATTCTAATAATATAATGATATTTCAGGGCACAACAGACCRGCTCATAAGCAAAGCCCCCATATTATGGCCGTAAAGCAAGTTTACATCCAGACAAGGAAGCAGAAGAAACTGCACTTCATTGTGGGTGGATATGCCTACCTGCTGCCCAAAACTTCTGTTATCCTCCGATGCCCTACCAGGAGGTTCCGGAAATCAATGATCACGTGGGAGAAGGATGGCAAGAGGCTYGTCAGTTCAGCTCACATCACTGTTGCACCCTACGGGTACATGAAAATCCATCATTTGAAGCCTTCAGACACTGGGACATACACCTGCACAGCAGGGCCAGCCTGGGAGCATTTCGTAATTAAACTGATYGGAAGCAACAAGAAGATCATTGCTGGTGCTAGGGAGGAAGAGGCCACGAGAAAGGTCAGCTTAAATGATGCCTTGCGAACAGAGGATAAACGTCTCAATGGGATATTCTTCAATGGTAGCAAGGCTGAAAAGCGTGGACACCTTACTAACCCCAGCAGATGGTATGACAATATTGTCTCAAGGCTGCTACAGCTCAAGGGCTGGCCAGGGGAAAACCCAGAGTCCTGGGAAGCCCAGGAGTCCGTGGAGAGAAATGCATCCTCAGAAGAGGACCAGAGCCGGGAGCACGGCCTGCCGTTCACTATGGTCACAGAGCAGAAACGTTTGGATGATATCATAAGGAATTTGTCACAACAGCCTGAGGAGCTGAAAGATATCTACACCGAGCAGCTTGTGGTCCAGCTGGCTCGTGAGGTGTTCAAGAGCCACTTGGAGCACCAGGAATTTGTCCTCAAAGCATCAAGGCGAAAAGTTGATTCAGCCTCAGTGGAGTACCCTTTCCACAGGCRTGTTTCTGGATTTACCAGCTCCCTGAGGACATCATCCGCTGAAACATTTCTTCCCATGTCTGTGGGCCAGGTAAATGGCTTGCACAGGCCTCATCAAAAGCCTGCCATCCTCCGAAAGATTTCAGCAGCACAACAACTTTCTGCTTCAGAGGTTATCACCCAYCTGGGACAGACAGTGGTTCTGGCAAGTGGCACACTGAGTGTGCTGCTTCACTGTGAAGCGGTGGGAAACCCAAAGCCCACCATCACCTGGGCTAAGAATGGAGAGGAAGTGAAATATAATGATAGGTAAAATACTTTATTTAATTTTTAAGAAATAATTGCTATTTTGACTCTTCAGTTTCCATGTTTTACTGCCTGTCAATCCCATGGATGAAACCGTATTTTGCTCTAGTCTGATTTCATAACACAAAGAAAGGCAAATACATGTGAGGTGGTAAGCAGGGTAAACCGAGCACTTTGGTAAGGTCTGGAGGTGTGTCAGACTGGTGTGGCAAACAAGAGCCTTGCATCTGTTGGAGTAAGTGAAAAATAAGGGATTGTAAAGTACTAGAGATAAGTGYCTCAGTTGATCTTCCCATCTGAAGGTGGAGATCTTTGCAATGAAGATTGGTATTGCAATGTGAAARCTGGTTATCCTGTACCTCTGTTGGAGGTACAAATTGCATTTCTCACAATACTACAGCAGGGCCTGACTAATGTGGTTGTGGTACTGTGGAAGAAGTGAGGCTTCAGCCTTCCACGTAGGTATCCGTGTGTAAAACTGCCCCAGGATAGATCTCAAGGGCATTACAATCACCAGTTACTGTGAATGATCTGACGAGGGCTGTACACTGTGGAAGTGCCCTTCATGGCTGTTTGCAGCTGTGCTGTCATCTCAACAGACTGATCACTCAGCATCAGTCTTCTCACATGAATTGGTAAATCCTCGTCCATTTAAACTCCRGAGTGCTGGTCCCAGCTGTGAACTGATGAGTTGACATAGCAAAATGCTTTTATCAGCATGCCACAAAAATTGTGCTGTTTTTCCTTCAGGTAGCCTTTACTTTCCTTTCACTCCACATTATTCATTTGTGTGGAAAAACACACAGAAAGAGATTATTTTCAGTGCTAGTTACATGTTTGACTGTGTTGATGGCATTCATTTTCCTCACGTGYGTGCTTGGGATTTTATATTTTGGTTCTGTTCCGTGAGAAGGCAGCGTGTAAGAACAGAAAAAGGGTGTGCTGGCAGTAATAGTGACCAACATATCTGTCTGCACAAGATATTTACCTTAGCTAAGACATCTGCATTTAGTCATAAGGTCAGCCTGGAAAATGAGAAAACATGGAGTCAAGATGAAAATTAATTTTTGTTGTGGTACCCTTGGATCATCCATTAAAGTCTTGGTTTAGGTACAATTGCCCCTTCTGTACAGTTATGAAACTAGTTTATTAGCACCCTCTTTATTTTGACTACTGAGCCACTGAAAATATAATTCCTTTCTGTAAGGATCTGAATTTCCTTGTTCTGGACTCTCCTTCTGAAAACTAGTAAGTATATTAAATTTAGCATACAAAAAATGGCAACTTTTGAAGGGTTAGGGTCACTAAGAACAAGAATGTATCTCTGGTGGAAATCATATGCAGTCAAAATCAAGACTTAGACCTATCCYTTCATTTTGATATATTCCTGTGTAAATATGTGTATGCCATCCCCCAAAAAAGTTTCGTGTATAGATTTTCATCCAGTGGTTATATCGCATCAGAACTGGGCCATTATGGGATTTTCTTCCCTCTACTTGAAATGACTATAACTTCACGTGGTACAGTTATCCATGAAAGGGAAGAGACTTCACATAAAGTTCACATGTGAGGAATGCTGAAAACTACATTCATGAGAAAATGGCAAGTTTATTTCTCGCCCTAAAAACTGTCATGACACCACAACYGGTAGATTAATTTAGCTGAAATTAAACAATCTCATTTGATTCTTGAAATTTTAGTTCAGTTTTTTTATACATAATTTTACAATTCCTTTGCAACCCTTTTTTTTCCATTCAGTCTGACTGAAGTAGCTTTAAGTGCTGTGTTCTCTTTCTGAATTATCATTCAGCTGAGTGTGTGCTGGAAATTTCAGTCAGACTCAGGAAAATATCATTTCTTTTTCACTTAGTAGCATAATTCATTGACAGCTCTTCTTTAAATGTTGAGGCAGTTTCCACTTTATAAACTTCCTTCTGTACTCATCATTTATAGTTCCTCCAGGTTGGTGCATGGGGGAAGAGATGAGCATGCTCTGAGCTGAAGATGTAACTCGATAGCTGTATCTTGGGAGTTAATGGAAGTTTAGAAATCCTGATGTGTGAGAAAATTGAGCTGTGGATTTTTTTTT